CACATTAGCAATAAGTCGACAATATTTTCTCTTATTTATAAACTATTTTCTTCTATAAATTATATAAACACATTTCTCCGGGTTTAAACGTAAGCCAAATAAAAATCGCAGAGTTTTCTGTAACTTGCAAAGCAACTGATCCATGGGTACATCAACTTTAATAAAAAAGCTGACATCATCCCCTAATACTTTGAAATCTTCCACGTGGTATTCACTAACGATTAACGCTGTTTTTGTACAAACAAAATTTATACAAGAATTCATCAACGTAGTTAACAAACTACCAGATGGTGTACCAACTTGCTTTTTATAACAAGAACCATCAGGTAACATCAACTTTGATTCCAGAAAAGTTTCACGCACAAAATCAAATATGGATTCTTCAGATCCTAAATCAGTGTGCTTAAACTGTATACACTTCTTTAAGATGTCAAAGACATCCATAGAAACAAATCGCATACGATGAGCATCCCAGCCACTGTAATCGAGATTGATAAAATCCATGCCGTTATTGGTGTGCAAGTAATTTCTAAGACGATAAAGTGTATTTTTTCCAGTTAAAAAAACATCTGAAAGTTTCTTATAAAGATAGTCATAAACATTACGGAATAATAAGTTTTCCATAACAATAGTTTCAAATGGAACAACCCAGATAGCCCGAGACTTATTTTGTTCCAATGGTGACAAATGGCCTCGAAGAGCCAAAACACATGGCTTATATTCAATTTTCTCTTTACGAAGGAGGCGATAATAATTCGAAATTGACTGTTTATGAACCTCGTCCCAAACTTCTGATTTTTTCTTTCCTAAGTATGGGTATCCAGCCGATGAGTTTCTGGGTATTTGTTTCATTATATTGTCGAGACTAAGAGTTTCAGCGCGGCAAGACTCAAATAATTGTCTGAGTTGACCCAGAGCTTGTTTGTAAGCCTGATCAAAACGTTCAGAGCTCAATACATTTTTACGAGTGACTAAGGGCCGTGAGAACATCGCTAAAGAAGGGTAAACTCGTCCTAATCTTGCTAGTTTAGTATATCCTTTTAAAGAATCATAAAGTTCACGGTCCCAAATCTTCATTGATTCGGCAACCCAATGGTCTAGAGGATCTCGATTTGGAACAACATTGTAAGGGGGGTAGGATTCAGAGCATTTGGTAAAGGTAGAAGTTGGTTGATGAAGGAAATATTTCAGTTGGTCAATATTCCAATCAACATAAGGGTAGTTTTCAATAGTGTTCTCTACATCACTAGACAATTGATTGTCCTGCAAGTAAGTAATGTACTTCTTGTCTTTAATTAATTGGTAAAAGTGATCTAAATTATATGGCTTAGATAAAGACATTTCGGTTAGGTAGTAAAAAACAGCTTTTAGCTTTAATATTTAAAAAAAATAATAATAATAAAATTATAGCAAAAAATATAAATAAATTTGTATTTGTTTATAAAATATTTGCTCTGCATAAATTCTCTTTAAATGCACACTATAACATTGATTTTCTAAAAGTTTTTATACACTCCTCTCTTTATAAATGCGTATTCTCTCTAAATTAAGGTTGTGTTACGAAAATTACAAGACTAAGTCAATTTTATCAACCCAACACCGAATCCGATTTTTTTAAAGGATCAACTTAGTCAAAGACTATTAATATGGTGTAAATCATCCAAAACTGTAACTCTTCAATGAACATTTGGAACTTCACAAAAACGAAATTTAACTTTTATAGTCTTATAGAAGATACAATATTTTTTTAAAAAAAAACATAACAGGAATTTTCAAGGCTATTAATCGGCAAGGTGCTACGTATTTGATTACGTAGTCACCCTATATATAGGAAATAGGGAAAAAAGTACGTACAATACATTTAACTTTACGTACGTACGTTTCAGTAAATCAGATTTCATGTAACTTTCACGTTATATATAAAGTATCAGCCTTACAAAATTTCGGACGGCATTGATAAATTGTATGTGTTCAATGTTACAAATTACATGAAAACAAATCTACCGAAACTAGTAATCTTATAACCCTCTAAATGCATACTTCAATTATTTTATTATGGTCATGAGAGGGTGCATTTGTAAAGATCTATTAAAATTTTAAAAACAATAATAATTAGCTAAAAAATAATTTTATTACAATACTTGCTATTATTTTAAAATTTAACAATTATATTAAAGTTTTATAAAAAATTTTTATAATATTCATTATATTGTAATGTAACAAGTTAGACCTTTGGTTAACTAGCTACAATACTTGACTAAGTGTACGAGTAGTTAAGAAA